TTTTAAAGAGATGCACACACATAGACAACCACACATATATTTAGAAAATTAGACTATTATAAGACATTGTTCGTGACTTTTGAGTCCAAAGACGTATGATCACAAGCAACCACCCCACACCCACTCTATGACCAGCCATACCTCCCCACCTTACCTATGTCACTTCAATGTTCCCTTACACTCAAATTTCACCACTCCCACGTTTTTGAGCTGGAACAATCAACCACACTCCTCATTTTCTCTCATTTCTCTCATTCCACTAAGTAACAAACATCACTTTTTCTCTCAAACTCTTCTACACAAATTTTCGAGATCCAAGGCTGGATTCAAGTGTTCTTCCACACTTAGTAAGTAAAAATTCATCCTCCCTATTATTATTTCACTTCATTCTACTCAAATCTTTGGTTGCTTACACAAACTCCCTAACTATGATGTTAGATTCTCGAAAACCTTCAAGGCATCTCCAAGTGTTCTTGAATTAAACACTTCCATTCTTCAACAATCATCTACTGAAATCACTCAAGGTGAGTTCATACCCCTACATTTTCATGATTTCTCAAGTTTTCAGGGGGGGAATACAAGTTAAAACACTAAGAATATAACTAGATTTTTCTAACAGCCTTCATCAGAAAAGTTCAACTCCATTCACGGACTGTCTTGGGCATCTTAAACATTTTTGTTTTCAAAACTGTACAAGGTGCAAATAGTTCGAGTTTTTAGCTTTAAAATGGCTACTTGCACATCTCCATACGATTTTTCTACAATTTTGGTGATTTTTACAAAACTGCCTATCATTTCAAACAACAATCCGGACCAGTCTGTGATTTTGGACTTTTCACCCAAGTTAGAGGTCATTATAAATTGAGATAAAATTTATGAGCAAACTAGACACATTTGTGAACTCTCAAAATTTACGGATCTAGTTTTCGACTTCGTATGATTTTTCTATGATTTTTCCAAATACAGGGCAGAATGGCTAAAGTTAGCCAACAGCATGTAAATATCATAACACTTTGTATTATGTTGAGCAAAGTGTATAATCATAAGTTCTAATATTTGAATGTGTTTCCATGTTAGTTTATCATTATGAACTGGAATTAAGACATTCATATTAAATATTAAATATTATTCATTCATTTTGGAACACGTATTATTAGACTATAAGAGGTATAGTTTGATAAATTCACAATACTAATATATTTTCATAAAAGAATTCATACATATTACAAACATTTTAGATAAACTATAACAGGTATAGTTTATGATATATCACTCTACGCACTCGTACAAGAAGGGTACATTCATACAAGAAAGATTTCTATTCGCACACATTTCACGAAAGTTAATCTATGTTTTGATAAATTCACAACACTAGTTACATTTCCATAAAAAGGGTTCATACATAGTACATACATTTTAGATAAACTATAATAGGTATAGTTTATGATACATCACTCTACGCACTCGTACAAGAAAGGTACATTCATACAAGAAATATTTATATTCACAAACATTTACGTAAACTTGTTATCCTATATTGTGAGTTTTCTATTTTTTTCGATCTCTATCTCTCTATCTCCCCGTACGTCCGAGTGCGGGATATAATTCCTGGTAGTTATAATCAGAATCTCCTTGAGGGAGAACGTGATACTTGTATATAGATCTATATTGGGATTGACACCCCACACCTTGCTGCTAGCTACAGTTGGACCTGCAGGTCTACGGGTGACAAATGTCATTTCATTTTTCGCGACACTGAGAACGTCGTGGCAGGTTCACATAGTCATAGTATGATTATAACGGCTCACATAGGGAACAATCCATAAGTTTACGGGATTTTATTTTTAAAAACCTAAATGAGTTTTATGTCGATTTAAAATCACCTTTTATCTCTATGGGTACAAATACAAGTACCGGGTCTCTATACAAAAAGGGGTACAAATACAAAGTGCCGGGTCTCTATACAAAGCTATTATGATATTAAAACTACACTTCCTCTAAAATTGTTAGACTTCAACTATAGTCGCTGAGCGTATATGTTGAGTCATATAAGAATTTAGTCTTGATTGGCCTAGAATTGGTGGTGCCCGCCTCATCTCCTGTTCCTCGTTGGGTTGTGGACCTAGGGCAGACCCACTATATTCAACGTTTTATCTAAGTTAAGCCTTATATAACTTTATATGTTGGACGATTATAGAGGAACTCTACGGATTACTCTAGGGTTCATTACAGCATCATGTAGGATTATTTCTATTCATACTTAACTAAGAAAATATTGGATTTTCTGGAAATCAAACTAAATCGATTTTACAAGGAAAAACGGTTTCTACTTCAAACAAAACTCTTATGAACTCACCAACCTTTGTGTTGACACTCTTTTAAAACTACTTGTATTCTCAGGAAATCAGTGAAACAGGAAAACTTCATCGCTTTGAGGATGGGACGCTAAACCGTCAACAATTTATTTTGTCATCATAATGTAATTGCTTTTGAAACATGTAAACATATACTTTGGTGTAACTTTTGCAATTATATTTATGGTGGTTGTTTTTACTTTGAGCACTATTATACACGTTGTTGTGATACTGTACATGAAGTCCTCCACCCCCAGACGTTTCCGCCATCCTTGGTTTGGGGGTGTGACACCGCCGGCCGCCATGGTGTGGTTGTGTGTGTGTGTGTGTTAGTTAGTTAGTGTGTGTGTGTGTGTGTATAAATCATTGTAATTGTAATTTCCAAAAGATTAATGAAAAGAAATGGAAAACCACCACCTTAGGGTGGTGGCCGCCGCCGTAAGCCGCTATCGACCACCACTACCCGAGGTGGTAGTGGGTGGTGCCCCGCTAGCAAACCCTAATGGACTTAGATATTGGTTTTGGGCCTATTGGGCCATGTTTGGGTGTAAAACCCTAATTATGAGTTTTGGGCCTTATACTTATTGGGCCCACTTTTGGGCCATTGGGATTGGATTGTGAATTAAGTCCAAATTATTCCATGCCATTTATCTAGTAGAGTAAAGAACTTAATGGACTAAGTCCTTAATGAGCTAATTGAGAAAATATTAATATTTGGGAATTTATCAGGACACACGAGAATTATTTAATAAGTGAAATATTAAATAATAATCATTGGCAGAAATTAATCTAAGCAATAATGGACTTAATGGATTAAGTCCTTAACGGATTAAGTCCCTAGTGGGTTAAGTAAGAAACACTTAACCCTAGTTATCATTTGATGTGAAACCCTAATTTCACTTGGGCTTTGTGTTGGGCCATCCGAGAATAATCAAATGGACTAGAGTAATTAGTTGGGCTTTAGGGTAAGGCCCATATGAAGGATTGGGCCCAATTTGGAAAATTGGGCCATAGATGGGCCATAGTTGGGGCCTAGATGGTTGTATGATATTGAGCCCTAGAATGATACATGTTGGACTGGACTGATCAATTGGGCCATATGTTGGACTTTGATCCCTAGTTGACTTTGGGCCTATGGATTGGGCCTTGGGCTTGGGTAAGCCAAGCTAGGGGTAATGTAGTAATTATCCAAAGCATGTATTTTTAGTTATGTGTTAGAACCCAATTATTAATTGGGTGTTATTTGGTGTTGACAGTTCGGGAATCTGTCAGCCAGCAGCTGGGGTGGAGTATGCGGGACTTCAGTAGTGTGGGATTGTGTCTGCGGGACTTCAGCAGTGTGAGGTGAGTTTCCTTCCAGTAGGAACGGGTCTAAGGCCACAATGTCGGCCCGTTTAGTAGCAGTAGTTTCCGGACTTTGGTCCGATGCAGTTGTTAGTTTGTTTGATGCCTTCGTGGCTCAGACAAGATTTATGTGTTAAGTGTTATGGGCTACGGCCTGACGTAGTATGCAGTATATGAGTTTATGATCATGTGTGTTATGCTATTTGATATGTGTTTTTGCTATGTTATGCTATGCCCAGTCAATTCCGGACTTCGGTCCGATGCAGTTAGTTCCGGACTTCGGTCCGATGCAGTTAGTCCCGGACTTCGGTCCGATGCAGGGGACAAGGTCCCAGTCAGTTCCGGACTTCGGTCCGATGCAGTTAGTTCCGGACTTCGGTCCGATGCAGGGGACAAGGTCCTAGTCAGTTCCGGACTTCGGTCCGATGCAGTTTCCGGGCTTCGTCCCGATGCAGTGGGCAAGGCCCAATATGTATTTATATGTTATTGTATGGTATGTGGTAGTTTGGGGGAGCTCACTAAGCTTCGTGCTTACAGTTTCAGTTTTGGTTTCAGGTACTTAGTTTTCAAAAGAGGAGCTCGGAAAGATTGCAGTGCACACACCATTTGTTCAGCCTGGGATGTTTATACTCTGATATATTTGACAGTTGTTATAATAGTTTGAGATACATTGCTTATGATTTCTATATGAGGTTTATTGACTATGGTTTTATCATTAAATTAAACGAAATTTTCAGACTGTGTTTTTGGGATGTTACATATATTGCAATATAATGTATATTTTTCATCAAAATAAGATGTATAAAAAACAAATGAGGTTGTGTAAATTTTGCAATACGTTGGTTCAACATGATTCTAGAAATTGTCCATTTGTCAAAAGATATGCTCAAAAGAGTTGCAGAGAAGATGTTGAAGGAAAAAGAATTGGTACGTACTTCAAAAGGATTAGTTTTCATGATGAAAGGAATTCTGCTGATGATGATTGAGAGTAGAATGTTTTTGTTATTATTACAATATTTTATGAATTTAAAGTGCGATATGTTTTAATTGAATGTTTTGAAATAATGTTTCGTTTATATATTCAATTGTAATGCCATTTAAAGCATATTTTATTTGTGATTTGTATTACTATGTGTTATAATAAATTCATATATGTTTTTATATATGAAATTTAAATAGTAAACTATTACATTATCCATAATAAATATTATAATAAACTTATGATTCGTTTAACGCTTTTAATAGTAAGAGTTTTAATATAGAGAAGCATAACAACAAACAAATCTAAAATTCAAATCTAAGTTACTGATGTTTTTTGAAAGGCTTAAGCACATTTGAAGGATTTATTGAGCAATTTCTTATATCATGGTTGACTAATTTATTGCATCCTTTGCATTTGCGTTTTGGTTTAAGTGATTTTGCTATTGCTTTTTCTGCAGCACTTTTGATTCGATTCCTCTTTCCACTTCCTTTTGTTTTTATCTCATTTGGTACTTTGATTTTCACATCACTTGAAATTGGAACTCCGGTGATATTTTCAACCACATCTTTTATTGGAATTGAACTTGATCTAGAAGAAACATCCTTTCCACAAGTTTCACTTAATTGTTGAAGAGAGTTCACCAATTCTTGTAGTTTTTCTTTATCATGAATAACCGATTCAACGCATTTCTCAAAAAAAGAAGTTGCATCCTGCAAGAGATTTGAAATTTCTGTACTGCACACTCTCCATTTTTGGTTTATCTTTTGAAAACCAATATCCATTATGTTCTTTCTCCATCTATCCAGAATGTATTTTTGAGGTATCATGGCAATGTCATAATCTATAAGAATTCTCAAAGCATGACTACAAAGGATTCCAAAAAATGTGAAATGCAAACATTCACATTCAATTGTTTCATCTTTTGCATCAAAAGTAACCTGAGTAATAATAATAAAATTTTATTACACAAATATTTTTATAATTCTAAATAATGTTAAATTAAAATAATAATGAAGTAGCATATTTGCATACCTTAAATTCTGGTCGCTTGCCTGATTTTAGTTCTTTGTAGACAATTGTGCATTGTTGATGACCATCAATCAAAACCGAATTTTTTTGAAAACACTGATAGAATGCCTTTTTTATTTGTTTTTGCACTTTTATGAATGCTTCTCGTGTGTATACCAATGATGCATGCTTTTCTATTTTCAAACTTTCATTTGGAAATAGCAGTTGTGGAGAAGTATCTCTTGATGCAATGTCTAATCTTTTTTGTTCATGACGCTGCTTTGAAAGTGTAGTGTCAAAGTTGAACATAAAATTAACAAGTAAGTTGGTTGGAGTTGAGAAAACATTGAAAAAGGAATTAGAGCTTTCAGATCGAGATGTAGTCTTCATAAGTCCACACATTGGTATATCTCTGAAATAGGATGGAATCCATTTATCTCTCTTGTTGAACATATCAGCCAACCATTTATTTTCCTTCAAATGAAACTCATTCAACATCAAATCCCATTTGTTCTCAAAATCTGATGGTTTAATATGCATATTCCAAACTAGTTGATTTATGCGTTTCTTGAAATCTGAATTTGAAACTAAATCAGCTTCAATCTGTCATGTTAAATTTGGTTTTATTAGTATATTTTCATAAGCTATTTTTAATGCAATAAATTAAATTTTTTGTTACCTTTGATGGCATTTTTGACATTATGTGCCACATACATAATCTGTGAGTACATCCTTGAAACACCTTTGCTATTGAACAAGATAATGCTGCATCCATGTCTAACAAAATCTTGTTGGTTTCTTCTTATGTGATGACAAAAAAGCTTCTAATAACCAAGAGTATGATTCAATTGTTTCATCTGATATTACTCCTGCTCCAACATTGATTGTCTTTTCATGATTGTTTATTGCAGTGAAAGGAACAAATATCATATTGTACCTGAAAATATTTGTAAAATGTATCCCTTAGTATGTACTATAATTTAATAAATATAAATTTTACCTGTTTGTTCTATAAGTTGCATCCATTGATATAACATCAGAAAACTTAGAGTAGTTTTCTCTTCCTGTTTCATCAACCCAAAACATAGCATTTAGCACATCATCATCCAACTTATATTGAAAATGGAAATTTTGATAATTATCTCTGCGACTTATCAATTGGTCTACAACACATTGAGCATCATTTGGTCCAACAATATTTGTATAATCTCTCCAAAAAAATTTGAAATCATTCTTTGTTGCTGGCAAATTATCATATCCTCCCTTTAAGGATGCTCTTAACTTGTGTGCTTTTGTGGCACCAATGTTGATAGTTGAAGCTTTAACAATTAGTTCTTGATCAAAAATACTAAGATGATGATTTGGAGAGCAGATTTTTCTTCATTAAATTATGTGAGTGGATGGTTATGTGCGTCTTCAAATGCATATACAGTGATTTTATTTGTTGCAGCATTTCTGTCAAAACAAATCATTGCCATACATCCTGTGACTTTAGAATATGATTTCCTTTCTTGTTTTTTTAGTCTTTTGGATGTAAGAGTATCAATGGTTCTTTTTTTTTTTTTTTTTTTTTTTTTTTTTTTTTTTTTTTTGGATTTCCATATCTGTTGCATCTTGTTTTTTCCTTAGACTTTGATCACCGTATTTGGTTGTTGTTCTTAATCTAATTCCAAAACCAGCTGCTTTTGCATAATTTCTGTACATTTCAATCCCTTCATTTAAACTTGACACAATTTATCCTTTTTTGGGAATGATATCTGCAGCAACATGTGGAATGTACACATCATCTTGATTTATATAAGATGTTCCTGTTAAATATTCAAAAAGCTCAATATTGAAATATATTAAATATGTTCATAATTATTTATTTAATATAAAGTAGGTAAACATGCCTTTATCCTTTACTTTTGCTGTTGAACTTGTAGTTCCTTATGAAAGTTGAACGTCAGAGTCAGTTTATTTATTTTAAATTTATTAGTAATTATTCTATAGATTTTAGTAATCAATGTCAAATTTAATTATTGAATAATAACATCAGAAATATTCATCTTATTATTTATTAAACTTGCCTTTATCAGCATTGTTGAATGTTGATTTTGAAGGTTCAATAGTTAAAACATTGAAAGAGTCTTCCGATTCATGACTTTCTGTCCAATAGTCAGAAAGATTAATATTGAAATAAGTATTTATATGTAAATATTTAGTAAATGAAAACTAATTAATCATGCAATTAACTTTTTTTTTTGTCTTCAAATCATGAACATCCTTTTGAAGGTTGAAATTAACTTTCAGTATCATCGTTAAAATATATGTAATGAATGTGTAACATAGTATTGTAATGTTAGGTAATCATAAATTTTGAATATTAGAATAAAAAATATAGTAATTATACAGAATGAAAACTTGCCTTTATCAACATCATCTAAGGTTGATATTGAATTTCCGATAGTTAAATTATTGGAAGATTCCTTTGCTTTATCAATTAAATAAGTAGAACAAATATCTTCATATTCTTCACTAGACATCTCTTCAATTTGATATTGTAAGTAAATCAATCAATGATTTTAATAGAGATGATTTTGTCGATCATAAACAGACTGAAGAAGTTAATTTCAAATTAGTATATCAATTTTTGTTTGCGGTTATTTATATGAAGAACTTATTCTATCACGATTTTATGTTAATTACTATCTTACCCTTTATTAATAATTTTAAGTAATAAAATGAAGAAAACATGAATAATGATGTGGCATTATGTGATTGGTTCCTTCATTTTCACATAGTTTGCATTTTTGCATGAGTCTTCCCATATATATATATATATATATATATATATATATATATATATATATATATATATATATATATATATATGGGTATAATTAATTAATAGAAAATAATAACAAACAAACAACACTAGATCAAAAAAGACATGAAAACTACATAATTGAAAGGTAAAGGCTTGTGTAACTTTATAGATCTCTCGTCAATCTTCTCAAATACCTTAACAGACACAAATAACTAAACAAGAGGAGAAGAGAGTTGGGAGAAAAATTAACCATGAACTACTTTGATCTTAACGGAGGGCTATACGTGATTTGACAGAAATACCCTTCAATAAAAAGGATACCCATGTACTACTTTTTTATTGGCATTACTTTCATGTGTTGCAAAACAAGTTTTACATCATCCAAACATCATAAATATTTACATTTTTATTCATAGATACTCACAATCACAACACTTTTAGACAAGCACTTCAAATCAAACAAATAATCATAAAGCTCCAATGTGACACTGTCAAAGAAAGCAAAATTTGTCAAAAATCATACAACTAAGTTTATTACCGCAGGGGCAAATTAGTCAAACAATAAATAAAGCTTCAACATTTGAGAACAGAATAGATCAATCTTACCAAATACCAAGCACGATTGTCAAATATCGAAATTGATTATTTGATCTGCCTCATAATAAGATCCAATACCTAGTTCTTTGATCTGCAATAAACCAAGTTTTTTTGATAATGCAAATAAGGACATTCATGTCTTTTGCATTGACCAAAGATATAGTGTAACAATATAATATAGTATCTTAGGTAAAATACCTTAGGGAATCGGTTGTAATAGTGGCATTTGGAGAGCTATAAAGGAAGTAGTTTTTGACATGAATAGGAACCATTAACATGGAACATTTCCCTTTGTGAGACACTTGGCGTATATTTAAATGCTTCAAGTTGTTGAATGGTGAAGGTTGATATGATAGTACATCCGGATACATCGATAACCCCTTCGCACAAAAATTAACAACACACAAATAAAGAATTTGCATTCAAAACTAAATCCAAAAAAAATTCGAAATGAAGATCAGTATCAAACACAGTACAATCTATTATATCATTAGCTTACCTGAATGACATCTGAGTAAAGATTAATAAATTTGGTACTATGGAACTCCGTGAGCACCTTTAAAAGCTGGAAAGCATCTTCTTTTTTAAAATCAGAAAGTGGATTTGGCATAGGGAGATGAAGATCCACTTTCTCTAGATTCTCGAAACCATTTGTTAAAAGACACAAAGCGCACTCACCACCATAGACAAATGATGAGAGATTAGGTGCTGAGATGAAAAGCTTGTTAAGGAAACAATCGGTTATAGTCAGATCCTCAAGTCTTGGAGCTGAAACCTTAAAAACCTTCACTTCCGACATGTAACACTCGGTGATACTCAGTTTCTTCAAATTTACACACTTGGAGAACAGATCAAGGTACTCATGGTTTTCATTTCTTCCATCAGAAATTACGAAGTCGTTGAGATGTAAAGTGGTTAGATTTGGAAGATCCCAAGGATACTGTGGTGCGATGCAGTAATCTTCATGGATGTTTTTTAGGGTGAAGTGTTTGAGAGATTGGGATTCGAAGATGCAATTTGGGAGTTTTCTGTCTCTTTCGAAAGTGGAGATGTTTAGGTTACGAATGTTGTGAGATACCACGTAATTTAGAAGGACTTTGACGAGAATCTGGCTGAGTGTTCCATCGAAACTGAAATCAAGTGAGGAAACATCGGTTTGATCATTGCGATTAGCTATAACGTGTCTTGCGAATCTTATAAATTGACCTAATTGTTGGAATTCGGAAGTTGAGAATTTGATATGGGTAAGGGTAGTCCAGATGAACTTCCATTTTGAAGATAAGGCGCATGTTTGAACAGCGTATTTCATGTCCATGAAAGAGAGAATATGATGAATAAGATCGAGAGGTAAGCTGCTTAATCTATCGGTTTCTGCATCGACCACAGGTTCATCGAGGACAGAATCCATTGTTTCTTTCTACCAAAAACTGTGATCTGCATTGTTGTTCAACACCACAATAAGAATCATTCAAAGAAGATGATTAATTGATCGTGAAAAACCCTTAATTTGCCTTCGCTTCGAACGAGATCGCTGCTCCAAATTACAAAAAGGGTCTAAATTGGCTTGATGTTAGATCAAAATCAGGTGTGGTTTCGGAAATGCATGTAATCATTTCCAAAAAAAAGTTTAATTCTGCTTATTTTTAACAGACACTGTAGCGTGAAGTATTGAACAAAACATGTAAAAAGAAGAGAAATCGGACAGAAGGACAGAAGAAAAAGCAGGAAAAGATGCATTAACAAAAAGAAAACTGAATCTATGCAGTAATAATCAGAATGATGAGTAAGATTTGATCTAGTAGAAACAATAATACCTTTTGAAGGTGTTGCAATGGCTTCAATGGTGTTGTCGATTGTGACTGATCAGGAGAAGGGGAGAAATAGAGAAGGAGGACACTGGTTTTGTGGGTAAAAGAAAGAAAGAAAAAAGAAAAAGATGCTGCTGCTTTGACGAAAGGTCACATCAAGGATATATCCGAACAGATAAATTAATAAAAAAACACAATACAACAAACTTTTATTTCACAATAGCCCCACCAACAATATTTTTATAATCTACAAACTTATATTACACAAGTGGTCCCACTAAAAAGATATATTTGTTTTTGTAGTGTAACTTTATCTTTATCTTCTTTCATCAATTTATATGAAATAAAAATAGAAAGAAAAATCATAAAAATAACCGGTATAGATTGAGAGATATAACATTCGGACCATTTTTAAATTTAAAATATTCATAAACGATCGTGTACTTCGTAATGAGTCCATTGCGATTTCTCTGATAGAATCCTAACCAAAGTCATACGGATTTTTTTTTTTTTTTTTTAATTGTATAAAGAATTTCCGCCAATGATATTCACACAGAGAAATCTAAAGGAAAAATAAATGAAATACCGAAATAGAATAAAAAGAAATAAAATTTACGCAAAAATAGATATCATATGCCACTTTGGACTTATTTTCTACTCTTCCGAAAATTCCATCATCTTGAGGAAAAGAAATTCAAATTAGAGAATGATTTATTGGTGAGGAAGACACAATATTTCCGTTATAATTTTTGAAAATATGGATTTAAAATTAGTTGGGTGGATACTAAGTCTAGTTTTTTTTTGTTATTTACATATTCATTAGACTATCATCATCGGGTGATTTTTTTTATTTATCTAGTTGCT